ACAGCCCAAAACTCACTGTCACCAAATATTGTCCTTTTGAATTTTTCCTTTCGGACGAGGTTTCGACGTCCTTATAAAGGATGTTTCGTTCTTCTCCACAACCGATGTGGAATCTCACAGTTGATCCTACTACGATTAGTTGCTAAGATCTCTAATGGAGTGGGCGTCATAACTTGAATTCATTTTCTCTAAACTCTTTATATATCCCTTGACCATTAAATCTGCACTCTATAGACTGTTTTTTGAAGGCAAATTTGCATTAAAGAGTTCTTATTGCAAATAGAATTCTTCGGAGTAACTTACTAATAAAGACAAACAAAATGTAACTTTTGAAAGTCATGATGAACAAAATTAAAAGTTGGCGTTGGGTAAATACGTATCTAATACACCTACAAACAGAACAAAAGATAAGGCCCTAAACAAGTAGCAAAGCAAAAGCAAACCAACCAAACAACAGGGACTTGCAATCCAGCTGCTATGCACACACAAAAAACACAAAAAAGCAACGAAAGATATCCAAGTTTACTTATAAGAGGCATTTCGTCGAACACCTGGTGGGCGCCCAAAGGCGTAGCCGAATAGAATTGCTATTTCTCACCGATACGCGCGCTTCCTTTTCAGCCAGTCCCCAGCTGTTCCCCAATAACGCCAACCAGCCGGCTACGTCATAATCACGCACGCCCAAAAGACGTCGTTTTCAGCCGGTGATGTTGAACGCCGACAACCCACTGACAGAGCACCGCTCTCTTCCCATGGGCAAAACGGGCAGCTGCCCTCTCTGCCATTAAAGCCAATCTTGCTTACTTGGATCGCACCAAGAAGGATCAGAAAAGAATCAGAAAGGGAAATGAATTTTGTATCGTTTCTGAAAACTTTGTAGCCAATACGTTAGATAAAATGCCTGAACTAATTTTTTTTTAAAAAAATGTTACCGTTAGTTGAAATCCACGTAATGTGGCACAGGAACTGTCGCTTCGGACATGTAGTGGGCATAAAATTGGGACGTGGCTCGCACGTTTTTTAGCCCCAATTTATTAAGCTATTTATATGCACACACACATATATATATATATATATATGTGTGTGTGTATATATATATTTATTTATTATTATTTATTGAATTAAAAATCATATTAAAAAAAGCGTATAAATTTACAAAGGACTTTTTTTTTTTTTTTTTTTTTTTTTTTTTTTTTTTTTTTTTTTTTTTTTTTTTTTTTTNTGTGAGATATTTATTTAATTCAAAATTTTAAGTGGGAGTTGGAGACTGTAATTTAAAAAGCGCGTATTAAAAAATATAAAAAATGAGGGGATTTATTTATTTATTTGGTACAAAATAGTGGTTATTATTAATTAATTAATTAATTAGTGATTATTATTAATTATTGTGATTAGTATTATTTTAATGAAAGTGGAAACAGATTAAGTAAGCAAATAAACTAAAGCGAAAATGTTTTATTAATATAATATATTTTTAATTAATTTCTTTTTTTTCTTATAGAAATTTTAAAAAAATCTCCCGAAATGACATGGCACCTATCCAATCGCGTTTACTAATTTAATAATATTATTATTTAGAAATCAAATACATAAATAATTTATTTATTTGAATAAAAGAAGAATTAATTCGTCCAAATTATAATTATTATTATTTGAATTAAATATACCAAAAGTGAATAAATTCTTATTATAATCTAAACAGTTATTGAAAAATAATCACATTTTTATCGATATTTTATGTGTTTTAATTATGATTTATGTTTATTTTTTATTCGAAGAAAAAATAGTGTATCTATCGAGAAAACCTTCTAGAAAGTTGCCTATAGAAAAAGTATACCCAACGAAATACGAGTCTGGTCGAGACTTGTCAGTGTGGGTGAGAGTTTTTCTACCTATCGATTCTTTACTGACTGAACGAAAAATATTTATTTCTGCTCTTTTTCTTTGAGCAATGAACCGTCAGTGTCTAACCGTACAAAATCCTTTGGCTTTTCCATCGATGTTTTAAAACACATTTGTCAGAAATAGGTTTCCGTACCCTTACATGAAATGTTTTGTACCTCATCTCCAACTAAATCGAGATCTCACAAATCCACCTGCTTTGAGGGTCAGTGTGTCTTCGTTGGCACACAGCCCAGTAACGGGCTCTGATACACTCTTTTGGCTTTCCTTTCAAAGTTTTAAAACGCGTCTGTTTGAGAAAGTTTTCATACTCTTACAAGTAATATTTTGTACCTCTCTCGAATCGATGTGAGATCTCATTTGAGAAAGTTTTCATACTCTTACAAGTAATATTTTGTACCTCTCTCGAATCGATGTGAGATCTCACATAACTCAAACAACATGAACGTCCTCCATCGATGCTCAATGTACTTATAGACGACGTCTCTAATCTTTCACGTTATATATATTAAAAATATTATACCCATAAATCATTTCATTTTAATTTTATATCTCACGTCAATATATGTGGTTGACATGTCAATTTTAACACGACTAC